ATCTCTTCGGTTTACCGGGCGGAGGGAGGATCCATACTTACTTTCGGTTATCATCGCGAGTCATTCCGGAACACACTTTTGATGAATGGTTCGCGCTTCGTGTTTCCATTAACATCGTCGTGATTTCCAAAGTACTTCTGTGGTTACAGACAACTGGCCCCACCCATTAAACCCCCATTACCACTTTTCCCGTATGACGGGCTGCTTTGCCTGGTGGTATTTTTTTGGGGCCCTCTCTCGACTGTTACCTAATACGTATAAGTGTTCAGTTAATTCGACAGTCGACAGCTTGTGACAATTAAAATAGTGTTGTCAGCTATGCAAACATTACTGAATTCGTCGGAGATCCCGACCTCATATAAGCTTAAAAACGCCCGAGCTTGCAATATTATCGTACAGTATCTGACTTGCTGCACGGAATATTAGCCGATGCAGTATGAGGAGACATTTCGCGGTCTTAAGGATGTTACAGTTGGAAGTTTTTTAAACTGAAAGGTTTACTTTCCCTGAGGAGGACATACTTACTTGGTTATCAAATAAATGCAGGAGAGAATGCCTTTCCGCATGTTTTCTATACTCACACTTGAATTTATGCGAGCATCAAAAATCAATTGCAAAAAACGCATACTTCTTAGGCGGTCATTTTTGGCAAGTACAGTTTTTGCAGGCGGCCCGAAAGAAGCTCACCCAAAAACCCGGCATCCTGGGACAAGTGCATTATTTCTGTATTATGCTATAGAATAATTCACTATCGCAACCCCGCCAAAGGAATCCCTTCTACTTGACTCCACACTTCAGTATTTCGGTTATCAGTACATGCGATAGTGCAGACACTGTACACAGGGGGCCGCCGCGTATTTATTACCACCCATTCCACGAAGGTTCGACAATCGATTTCGACGATGTCCCCCGTGTGCTTCACAGTAAGGCGGAGCAGGCACGGCGACCTGCGCGTGTGCTAGTTTATAGTGAGAATAGACTTGCTCTGCATCTACCACGCTTTCTCCTCCTCCCCCACCTGGATCCGGTGTCAAAACAGAGTCAAGAAGACCGTAGGCAAGAGAGGGCGCAGGTGGCTGGCACGGACGAACCCGCACCTAGCCTCGCGAGTGCTCCAGGCCAATCAACGCTGCCCACCCTCTGATTGGTTGGCAGACGCGGAGACAACGAAAGGCGCACACATGCGCTGGGTCTCAGCCCCTCGAAGGCGGACACAGACAACAACTTGCCTGGAGAGCGTGCTCGCGGCGACTGCCTACAGAGCCTTTGTGTACGCATTTCCAAAACTGTAAAAGTTGCTCAACTCACTCCGTCTTCCCTGACTTATGATTGGGAATCTTTGTCCTGCCGACCACACTACTTTCGACTGTACCACCACACCTCCCGGTCCACAACAATCACTTGACAAGGATCTTAATCAACGACAGCGCAACGACGCGTAAAAAAGACGAGGATGACTGGACAACCATGCACAAGACCTGTAGACCTGGTGGGAGCGCAAGCATGCCTACCGGCAGGGAAACAGGTTTCAGAGAGGTTGCGAGGGCCATGGTTTGCCGAATCATATAACAGCAGACGCTCACAATCCTCAAAGCCTAGAAGGGTAAGACACAGCCCCGTACTGAGCTTGAGCCATCACTCCTCAAAGGCCGGGTAACCAGTCAGTCATCGACTGAGAGGAACTACCCATAAAGCCCCCACACAGAGACTCCTTGAATGCACGAGGGTGCCAGAGGCCACGTTAAGAAAGAGCCACAACAACATGGCCTTCAGCCCCCAGTTCGCCACTCTCCACAAACACACAGAGCTGGGTAGACTGCCTGAACTGAGCTGAGGCGTCAACTGGCAGCCTTCCGCGCCACGTGATAGTCTCAGACTCGGATCACACATGCGACAGTGGGACTGCATGGAGAAGGAGTCGAGGGGCACACTTCCCACTTAAGTGGGAGGTGGTAATCGAGTCCTTTGTTAGTGAGGTAAGATGTGATGGTGTCGTGTAGCCAGCGGTTGTCCACCGCAGGTTTTCACGAATGTGCATGTGATCTAGTAGGCCCATGCAGTGAGTGGGTGTACCATGGCAGTGTGGACAGTGGAGTCCGATGTGTCGAGTGTATGTGAATGCTCCAAGCGCTGGTTCGCCAGTCTCTGTGCGATGGATTTGCAAGTGACGGACCAGGCCAATGCGTAAGCGGATGGGCGATCGCAGTGAGGACAGGTTTGAACGAGTCACATCACTGGTGCCGGTGGTAATAAGGCTGATATTTGACGGTGCATCAGGATTGTGCTCAATGCTGGTGGGCACTGCAGCAGAGGTTAAGGCGGCAAAACTGGTAAATGATGACGACGCGGGATCAGGAGCGTTGTAAGGATGGATTGTCGATATGGGGGAGGAACGGAGATGGAAGCGAAGTACAAATGCATGGTGAGGCATCAGGTTGTGCCGTCCAGATGCTGCAGTTGGTCCTAAGATGTCCAATAAGATCAGTCTGCGCCCGGAACGCTCATTGGCACCGTGGGCATGTTAGGGCGATTGTGTGTTGGCAATGCGAGGCGGGCTGGTGGGATTTTCAAGTTTCTCGTTTGGCTTTGGCGTCGGTTAGACGGTTGCCTCCGTAGATCGCTACACCTGTCTTCACTGTCTTCCTCCAGGCCGGTTGGTTCAATACGAGGTCCTCCCATTTGGCTGCGTTGGTCTGCAAGCGCTTTAATGAAGTCTTCAGAGTGTCCTTGGAGCGTTGGATCTGGCCTCCTTTGTCGACGAGTACCCGTGGAGACATCTTCATAGAGGAACTTTTGGACAGCCACTCGTCGTCAATCCACACGAGGTGGACGCACCAACACAGGTGCAGATGCTTCAGAATGACCTCGATTAAGGGGATTCCTGTTCCGTTTCAGTTCTCAAGTGTCTGGAATCCGGTCCTGCCACCTTTATTTTAGTATCCGCCGAAGACAGCTGAGGTGGAAGTGGTTGAGTCTTCGGACCTGCTTCTTGTATACCGTCCAGGTCTCCGGTCCATAGAGCAACGTCGGCAAGATGCAGACGTGCTGAGGTGGAGACCGTGGCGATTCCAGACTGTGCTTTGCAGCCGGCTGAAGGCTTGACTGTCCGTGGAAATCCGGCGGGCCACTCCATCGTCGACTTTGGTGTTACAGGAGAGGGTGCTGCCCAGGTAGGTGAAAGTATCCACGACCTGCAGTTGGGCGCCGTCCACGTTGATATGGGGTGCGTTGAAGACAGCATCGGGCGGCGGTTGATGCATGAACATCGTCTTCTCCGTGTTGATGACCAGGCAGAAGTTATTGCAGTCGGCAGCGAAGAGATCCATGCTCCTTTGCATGCCACCTTCGGAGACGGGGTTTAGGGCGCAATCGATGGCGAAGGGAAGTTCCTGAACAGTAGTTTTGGATATACGTGAATAGATGTGCAGCCGCCGACGATTAAGGAGTTGGCCGTCCGTCCTGTAGGCGATATGGATTCCGGGGCGTCCATCACGACAGATGTCCATTAGCATGACAGAGAACACAAGACTGAAGAGGGTAGGCGCCAGCACGCATCCCTGCTTCGCTCCGTTGGTCACTGCGAATGCCACTGAGACGGCTCCGGTAGAAGGCTGTGTTCTAGATGATTATTCAGGCGGTTGAGAAGGATGCGAGCGAAGACCTTCCCGGCGATGAAGCGGAGCTGCATCACACCGTTTTTCACTGCAAGTGCTTCTGAGATGGCACCATTGTCTGTGACGCGCACCATCATGTCATCGTGCAGCTGACGCACTATCTGAGTAAATCGTTCGCGACACCCGAATTTCTGCATAATTTTCCACAGTCCTTTGCTATTCCCCGTGCCAAAAGCTTTCACCGGATCTACAGAGGTACAGTACAGGTGGATCCGCATTTCTTGACATTTCTCTTACAGTTGACGGGCGAGGAAGATCATGTGGGTGGTGCCACGATGGCGATGGAAGTCCTCCTAGCTTTCAGGCAGGAGTCCTTGCTCCAGATGGTTGTCCATGGGGTTGAGGCGGACGCGAGCGAAGATCTTTCCGGCAACTTTGAGCAATAAGATTCCACCGTTGTTGCCGCAGACTTAGCGGGTCCTCTTCCGCTTGTATGGAAAGACGATTTTGACTCCTTGAGATCCTTAGGGACTTGTTTTTGGGGCCACATTGTCTGGAAGAGCGCAGTCAGGTGGTGCATAAGTTGAGGTTGGCCGTACTTGTAGATCTCAGCAGGGATCGCGTGCAATCCGGGTGCTTCTCCGCTGGAGAGTTGCTGCATGGCTCTGGTATTTGGGGGGAGAGGGGGCGGGAGGTCGACGTTGATCTCTACTTAAGGCAGCCGGTCGATAGCGCCGTCAGAGACGGTGCAGGGGCGGTTGAGGACGCCTCTGAAATGTTTGACCCATCGCTTCAGAATTTGCGTCTTCCCAGTGAGAAGGGCAGTTCCGTCGGCGCTGAGAACAGTTGCGCTTCTTTTGACTGTGGGGCCGTAGACAGCCTTGATCGCGGCGAAGAAGTTCTTCCCTTCGTTGTAGTCCGCGTACCCTTGGATCTACTCAGCTTTTCGAGTCGTCCAGGAGTCCTGCATCTCCCACAGCCGCTTTTTTAAAAGTCAGGGATATCGGTAGAAGGCGGCTTTGTTTGGGTCTGCAGAGAGGTTAACATAGGCTTTGTGAAGCTGGTTCTTCTCGCGAGCAGGTTGCTGATAGCGGTGTCCTTTTCGTCGAACCGGTCCTGGTGCTGGTGACTTGCACGGCCGGGGACAGCCAGGGCGACTGGCTGGACCCTGTCCCTCAGTTGGCTTCATTGGTTCTCCAGGAAGGCGTTCTCGTCGGTGGAGGCGGCGACTGGAAAGTCGACTAGCCGCTGTGCCAGCTCGTTGCTGAAATGGAGATGCCGAGTAGGCACATTCAAAAAAACAGTACTTAACTTACTCGGTAATGGCGCACCTTGACATCTCCTGCCTGGTTGTAGGCAGATTCTCATCTTGGAGATGTCGACGCGATGGTCGATCCACCCGTCGGCACCTGGGATCGCCTCTTTCATCAGCACGTCTTGCTGGTCTCGCCTCCCGTCGAGGACATAATTCAGTAGGTGAAAATCTCGCGACCAAGAGTGCATCCAGATCGCCTTCTCCCGTGTCGGAAGGCGGAAGAACGTGTTTGTCACGATAAAAGGGGGCTCTGAGCAGGTTCGTAGGTGGGACAGGCCATTGTCATTGAAGCCCTCAAGAGCTTGGAGATCCAGCACTCCCCTCCAGGGATCAAGGCATGTGCCGACGTTGCCAGCAAAGGACAATTAATTTATCCGCCTTCTTCACAGTCGCCGGGAGAGCGTGAAAGCCCTCGTAGAATTTGTTCCTTGCAGCAACAGGGCTGGTCATCGGGGGAGCGTAGACGCTAACGATGGTGTCGAATTTGCCTCTCCGGAGAGGCTGGCAGAGTCTCATCAGCCGGCCGTTTATGCTCTGCAGCAGACAAGGCATTCGTCCCACGATGTCATACCGGAAGGCAAAGGCGACGCCGGCTTCATATCGTCCTACCTTTGGGAGGCTGCTCCAGAAGAAGGTGTAACCGCCACCCACCCTACTCCAGTTGGCCTTGTTCAGAAAATCGGGTTTCGCTGAGTGCGGCGATGTCCACCTTGTAGCTCGTCAGTTCTAAAATGATTAGCGCCGTCCTCCCCTCCTGTCGGTTGCTCTACTTAGAGTTTAAAAGGGGACGAAAATTGCAGGCTGTCAGAGTTAGCGGATTCATCCAAGCAGCGTGTGGAGTGGGGCGGAGGGATGGAGGAGGAGGAGGAGGAGGAGGATGAGGAGGAGGAGGAGGAGGAGGAGGAGGAGGAGGAGGAAGAGGAGGCAGAAGAGCGAGTTTTCGACCGCAAATACTTCAAGAATTTTTCAGACAACTGCGGGTTGCAGTGTCGACCAAACTGAAACATCTCCTTTTCGGATATTAAATCGTACGCAGTAAACTGGGTGGAGTCCCTCTTGTCAGTAAAAAATCGTGCAGCTGATTCACCCCATAGACCAAATGATTCATCAAGGGAGGTTGCTGATTAACCGTGGCTCTGGGCAGTATGATGAGGACGAGGAACCCGCCTAATCTCACCTCTTCCTCGAAGAACACAGGATTCTAGCCCTGACCCATAACTACGATGGACATATATTATTCATGAAACGAAATGATCGCGAACTGGCAGTGTTTAATTTACACGTGCATCCGGTTCGGCGAAGTTGCATATAGCGAAAGCGAAGGTTATACTGAAATCCATGTCCAGGCCACACTATGCCCCGTGAACAGGGCAACCCCATCGGCATTGTTGGATGCTGTTCAGAACGCTTTCGAGAACGGTGTTAGCAGAACCAACCCCCAAAAATGCTCTCCCATATTAACATGCGCATTTTTAAACTGCATTTTCTATAAAATCCTGATTAGTTTAATTATTGCAACTTTTCCATATAGCTGTGTTCCTTTGACCCATTTGTGAAAAGCTCAGCGGACATGGTGGGATTCAAACTCGCGGCAGCAGGGGCAGGCTTGAGATAGCCACCTGAGTAAAATGGTCCCGCCAATGGCCTTGCAATCGCTGTCGTATATGCTAATCCCACTGAGACTGCCAAGTTCTTTAAAAGTGGGTCAAATTAACTATTCAAGTCTGCCAAAATCACCAACTAATAGAACTATACTTCATTATCATTAAATATTACACTGTATCAATAGTAGTAGGCCGTCATTACTACGCTTTATTTTCCTGTGACTGTATGATGTATGGCGCGACCAAGTAAATAAACATGGTGAGCATATTTTCAAATGCATCATTTTCGGGATATATGAACAAACATTGACTGAATTATTGTAATCCAAAGATATGAATATACTGTAGATAACATATTTTCCGAGGTCGATAATCAGATGTTGCAGCTTTTACGCGCCTTATCTACTTATCCTTTCAGTTATAATATTCAGCTAGTCTGAACTTTGTCTACGCCGAGACTTCGAATAGGACAAAATTACTTGCTGCTCGTAGGCTTCCATTCATGGCCATATAAAAGTTGTTTTCCGAACGTACACTTGTATTCCCACCAGCTTGTCAGAAGTCTTAGATACTGAGACGCTCTGCTTACAGTTGATATTTGAGCGGTTACTTGCCGCACCCGTCCCACGTCTCCTCCGAACTAAAAAACACCCTCTCTCATGGTCAGGAGCCTTGGGGACTGTGCATGTCTCCGTCATGTCTCAGACTACTCAGTGTACGCGCAGTTTCGACGCCAGTTGGCTTTGAACAATTCATCATTCGCACTTTGCGATGTCGACCCGGCTTCCCTGACCTGCGACATCAAAGTAATTTGACCCGCCACATGTAGAGGCAGTGCCGGTTCGGCAGCGTAAACAACACAAGAACGTCGCATTTTCATGAGAAACCCCAGCAGTTTATGGCTTCACCAGTGAGCTGGTCCCACAAGCGCGCAAATAATTGGCTCCTTGGCGTGCTGCAGTTCCGTACATCATCGCGAGGAAGTATCACTTTGTCACAGGATTATGGTGAGGATAATTATAAAGTCTGTCGCATGGTGAGTCGACACGTCACAAATGAAAGAATTAAGTCGCACGCTGTTTCGTTTATCGTAACTTACACTTTCAAATTGCCTAAACGTAACCACCTAATATGCACACAAAACGCTGTAGTTGGTAGATTAGTTGGGCAGTAAGTATTTTTGGCGATACGGAGTGACAGAACTACTGGTGAACACAGCAAGAAATGCCTAGTATTTTGGACCAAGTTGCTTTGGTTGTACAGCGTGAGAGCGAGAGAGGTTTCGAAAGTACGTGCATCCGCTAACTTGTGACCAAAGGGGTTTCCCACAACTGATGTGAACTTGTACTCCGATTTATATCACGTGGTTATGACTCTTACATAGAATTCTCTGATAAGACACGGGAATATGAACCTCCTAGTAGTGCAAGTGGTTTTGCGCTGAAAGGATACCTATTTCCGCGTCCTAAACATAATACTTGCACCAACTCAATGCTTAGACCTAATCCTATGCTTAACCTGGCCCTAGCCTTAGCTCTAACCATGCTCTCCATGGGATTAAGCGCAAACGCATCTCTTTTACCGGAGAATGGGGGGGGGATGTTCTAAGTCCCCTGTCACACCCACTCATCCTATCTAGCTGAAACCAATTGTACAGGCTCTAAAAGTTCACCAGTCCAATATTTCGGTCGTTGGGGCTCAGAAGTAGGCTCACGTCTGTGGCTCTATTTGAAGGTGGAATGCTCTTTCTTCGAAGTAAGATACATTTACAAGCAGAAAATTGTGAACGGACGAATGAGTTAAGGGTTATCCTGTGGCATATTTGAGTCCACAAACGTACATTTCTTAAAGACACAATCATCCCCAAGGTTGCTTAATATATGAATTTTCTGCTTTATCCCTTACGACTTTTTATGTATCGAAGTTTACGCTATCTTACTAGGCAACGCGTTCGGCCAACTAAAGAACTTGGCTCAATTTGCTCACCTCCACTCTTGATCTACGAAAAAATGCAATCATGTTAAATAACATGCGTATTTTTGTGACCTTTAGTAGCTGGGGGTAGCATCCCAAGTTTCCACAGACAGTAGCGCAGAGGCAAACATTACGCACTTACGAGAAAAAAAACAAAAATGACATGGTGACTGTAAGAGTCATCGGTAATTCGTCCAGTCAGGTTGTCCGGACTTGGTGCTATGCGACTCCTGCAGACCTCATTCCCTTCTACCACAGGGCAAACTCATAAAATTTCACCTTTGTATCTCTTCGCAACTACTCAGAATGATATTACATAAAACGACTAAGAACTCTTTGTTCTTCCGACTGCCCACGACGTACGGCAGTCAACCCACAGATGTTTGACAATTGAAAGATTGTTTTAAATTTGCGAAAATGCCCATTCAGAAGAGCATTTGTCGAGTTTGCGCGTGCTTTCGATAAATTATCATGGTGCTGTACACTTATATGAGGTGCAAAGTGAACATGTGAGTGATAAGTGCAATCGACTACGGTTCGTTCTTTCATACAAACGGGGCGTGTGAATAGAGCGGGGGGAGGGAGGAGAGGAGAGGAAGCAGTCAATGACCGAGAGGGTTAGGTTGAGCCGTGTCACAAGGTGGGAGGGGAGGGACGGGAGCGGGGACGCGGAGACCTGCATACAGTTAATCGACCCCGGCCCACAGAAGGCGAGGGGCGTGCAATAGGTTCTTCCGCGCGCAAAGGGCCGGCCTCTGTAGCCTGATGGCAGTTGACTCCATCTACTTGATCATCGTGCTTATGCTTTGCCAATGGAGCACTGAATATGCACTCGGTATTTTGCGTTTGGGAATACTTGAGGTCACTTCGAAGAGATGTACAACGCACTGACCGGATTGCAGGACGGAAGTCAACGTTCCGTTTTACCCCGAGACTCCGATCTGGGCCCCTCGATGATGGAATAGAGAAGACCAATGAGTAACCTGGAGGTATAGTCAAAAAAGGAGAAGGGGTTGGGCAGGATATTTCCTGGCGTATTTTCTGTCCCCAGCCGAAGTCGCAAAGCTGTCTAAACTTTCAACTGGCTGTTCCTACGCTTTGCTTATGGTTTTTGAAACACTTGTTTTCCTCATTACTGTCCATGCAGAACTGATCGCTGACTGATAAGGAAGTGGGACTCCAAGGGTCTCAGCCTTGCGACTCAGCCGACAGTATTATACTACCGTCTTGAAATTGAATTTTACCGAAACATCCGGACCGTTTTGTGAGTATGTAAACCCTGTTTTGGCAAAACTGATTCCTCCGAGTAGTCAAGTTCTTATTATTTCCTTATTCAACTTGCGATACTTCAGTCAAAAACAAATGCATGCTATGGTTCAAGCTGCTTGGGACGCC